AGGCAACTGTCGTCTACTGCTCTCGTTACAAAATCTCTCGTTACAAAAAAAAGCCCAAATGAATGCTACATTTTTAAATCTGCTCTCGCCACGGCACTGCTTGCCTAGGATCAGCTACACAAATATGTCGCACCGTCACCCTCAAACCCCAAAATTTGAAAACTTTCAAACCAGCGCTATTTTTAAAAATAAGAATTGCGCCTTTAAAACAAGAACTCTTCAAGTATAGTAGAATATTCAGAAAAAATCCCTCAGACATGAAGCCAAGCAGAGGCGCGCCCAGAAACTGTCCCCTTTCCCAGACCCTCCTGATTTTTTGCCACTAAAAAGTACCAAAAAACCAAAAAAGCGGGTTCAGCTTGCAAGAGTTACAGGGACGGAGAATTTCACCACAAGACTGTAAAAGAAAGGTAAAGTCAGTGAAAAAGCGCCAGAAAACTGTTACAAGCAAATTTTTCGTGCACTTCTTCAGTGAAAGGCCATACTTGAGCAAGCAGGATACTTGCATTTGGCTATCCCCTCCCCGTCCTTTCTTCGCAGATGTTGAGTACGCCTGTAAGGCAATCAGCAAACAAGAAAAAAAGAACCACCTCACGATCACTGACGATGAAGAGGGGATGAAGTCGACAGGATGCGCGATAGCACACTCCGCACAGATCGCAATCTAGAAATGCTCCTGTACTGATACACGATACGAGCAATTCAGGGGATTGTTCTCTAAGGAAAAGAAAGACATACGTATGTAATCGTCATCCTCCAATTCCGATTCTGCCAAAACAATCCCAAAAGTTTTCAGCTGCTTCTCTGAAAACAGCAAATTAGAAATATTAACCATGATATATCACTGCAGTTTCCTCCGTCCACTTTTTCTTACATTTCTCTTCCTTTTCTTTTCCTCACATATTTTATGCCTCCCTTTTTTCCCCACATACTTCTTCTATATTACTACTTAGATTTCTTCCGCTTTACATCTTGTTATCTTAACTAATTTATGTACTTTACTAATTTACTGTGTTATCACAATCGTCGTACTGACGAGGTTCAATTGTGGTAACGGTAAGAAATGTATACGACTTAATGGACCGAAACATTTCTT